CTGCTCCCGCAGGGGCGGCACAGCCTTGGCCCAGCACTGTCAGCTGGTGGCTGCTTTGATGTGTTGGTTTTTGGGAGGGTTGGCTTGTTGGATGTGTGTCAGGGAGGGCTGAAGAAACAAGCAGAGCCCAGGAGAGGTGTGATGTCATGAGTGAGGTGATTTTGTGTCCCTCGTGTGCTGTGGTTTGTGGATGTGTTGTGGATTGTGGATCCTCTTGTTCTGTGTGACTGGATGTCCATCAGTCATTGTGTTGCACCCAGGAATGCTGAGGGAACCATGTGATGTCCCAGGGAGGCCACTCTCTATCAGCTTGCCAAGGTCATTCTTCTGGGAGTGCTTCCTGATGGATGAAGGAGAGCTCCTGCCCTTGTCTCTTGAATGGGATGAAGAGAGAGGATCTGGTAAAGCAGAGACTGCTCAGGCTGAATTTTTTCCGTTGTGCTCCATTTGGATTTCTCACATTTATCAAAGAATGTCCTCTTTAATTTAAACTGTATTTTGTGACCTGATTAAGAAATGCAATTAACAAACACCCAACTGGGCTTGATCCCTTTTTGCCCAGGCTGGTCTAGGGTTTCCATTCCCTTTTTCCACTTTCAAGCCATGAGGTTCCATAACTTGTAACCTGTCAGTCTCAGCATTGTGTTGCTGTGAGCAAAAGCCACTAATTCCTGGCAGAGAGCTTGATGTCCTTGGCAGGCCACTCTCCATCAACTGGGAAAGGTCATAGTGCTTTGGAGCACTTCTTGAGGGATGAAAGAGAGCTCATCCCCTGGAATCGTGATTGAGATCAAGAGAGGGGACCTGGAAAACTTGAGGCTGTTCAGGCTGAATTCAGGCTGGTCAGGTTCCATTGCTATGGTCCATTTGGATTTCTGAAGTTTTCATCACAAAGTTCTTTGTCATTTAAACTTTATTTCTTGACCTCCTGAAGAAATCCAATAAATAAACACCAAATTGGGCTCAATCCCTTTTTGCCCAGGCTGGTCTGGGATTTTCATTCCCTTCTTCCGCATTCACGCCATGAGGTTTCATAACATATAACCCGTCAGTTGTAATATCCTGGACCTGTGAGCAAAAACTATAATTACTAGTGGATGGTCAGTGGGCTCCACTCTCCTCTTCTGTCATTTTGCGGATGTTCCTTTGTGGAATTCTGTGATTCCATGTCCTGCCCTTGAGGTCGCGTCCATCTGACCTCGGTGGCAGCTTTGATGAGTTGGTTCTTGGGAGGATTTCCATGAAATGTGGGGGTCAGGGCATTTGTCAGATGTGAGCAAAGCACTGGAGAGGTGGGGTGTCCTCAGTGAGGTCACCCCGTGTCCCTCAGGGGCTGTGGTTTGTGGGTGAGTTGTTTAGAGGGGCCCCATTCCCTCTCAGCCCTGTCGGGCTGGTCTGGACTGTGCAGCTGTGCCGGGGGTGAGGGGCTGCCCCTTCAATCCCATTCATTCCTTCCAGCCTCACTGCCAGCTCACTGAGCCTGTCTTTGAGCCTGGCCTTTGTCACTGGCTGTGCTCTGGTGTCAGTAAGTTTTACCCTTTGGGGTCCCAGGGCTTGTGCTCTGGTTGAAGACGAGCGTCCAAAGAAGAGTTTGTGCCGGGCGTGAGGGGCTTCTCCTTCCATTTTGTTGGATTCCTCTCCAGCTTTCTCCCAGCTCACACAGCCTGGGTTTAGGCTCAGCCTTGCCCACTGGGTTTGCTCTCTGGGGTCTGGTTGCCTCTACTGCTGCTAAGGTTGTATCTGAGTGTATCAGGTTCAGCTGACAAGGTTTTGGTCTCAAGAGTTGTGCAGGTGTGGCTTCTGTGCAAAGGTTCCAGAAGCTTCCCTGGTGTCTGACACAGCAAGTTCCCACTGGCTCCATGTTGGATCAGCCGCTGGACAAAGCAGAGGCAATCCTGGATGATGCAGCGATTCTGTGATCCCAGCCTGATCTGGAAAGGGCAGAATTAGTGCTGAAGAGGAGCTGGAAGAGAGGAGGGAAAACATGGGAGAGGAACAAGTGTGGGGTGATGAAGGGCAGTGCAGAGGGAGGGGAGGAGGTGGCCCAGGGGCTGTGTCAGGATGTGCTGTGCAGCCCGTGGAGCAGAGCATGGTGGGTGAGGCTGTGCCCCCGCAGCCCCTGGAGGTGCAGGGTGGAGCAGAGATGCAGCTGCAGCCCCTGGAGGAGCTGCCAGCAGAGCCAGGGAGTGCCCCAAGAGGCTGTGAGCCCGTGGGGAGGGCGAGCTGGAGCAGGCTCCTGGCAGGCCCTGTGGCCCCATGGAGAGAGGAGCCCTTGCTGGAGGAGGTTTGTTGGCAGAACTTGGGAGGCCATCGAGAGCCCCGTTGGAGCAGCGTGTTCCTGAAGGACTGAGCCCGTGGGAGGGAGCCAGGCTGGAGGCGTTTGTATGGAAATGCAGCCCATGGGAAGGCCCCCGTTGGAGACTGTGTGTGTGGGATGGAGCCCAGGCTGGAGCAGGGGCAGAGTGTGAGGAGGAAGGTACAGCAAAACCAACGTGGGATGAACTGACCCCAAGCCACCTTGTCCATCACCCTGAGCCACTTGGGGAAAGGGGGCAGAAAACTGGGGAGTGAAGTTGAGCCTGGTTGAAGGGAGGGGTGAAGGGAAGGTATTTAAGGTTTGGTTTTCTGCCCCATTATCTTACTCAAAGGTTTGATTTTGAAGGAATGAAATGACTTTCCCTGGATGGAGTCTGTTTTGCCCACAGTGGTGATTGGTGACTGAACTCCCTGCCCTTAACTGCACTCAGGAACCTTTCTCCATCTTCTTCTCTCTTTTGTCCACTGGAGGGAAGGGACTGAGAGAGGGGCTTGGTGGGCACTTGGTGTCCTGCAAAGATCAACCCCAACCCCGCAGAGCCCCAAGTTGTCAGCAGAGCAGGGTCCCAGGCTTGTCCCTGCCCCTGGTTCCAAGGTCTCCAGGCTGTGCCTGAGGAATCCCCAGTGACGGTGACCTCCCAAAGGGGACTTGCTGTGGGACCTGAGAGCAGAGGGATGGGGGCTTGGGGTCACCTGCACAGGTGATGCAGGGCCCCTGGAGAGGGAGGCTGGTGGTGCAGAGACCCCCTGAATGGGTCTGTGTGGGGCCCTGCAGTGAGCAGGGGATGGTGGCTGGGGCATCTCCACCAGGGATCAGTTGAAGCCCCACAACAAGGTGAGATCCTGGCCCGGGAGCTCCCAGGCAGGAGGAATGGGGATCGTGCAGCCTGAGGGACAGTGCCGTGGTCCGAAGAGGGGATGGGACACGAGGAAGGGTGCAAGTCGAATGCCCTATTCACGCGTGCACACTGTCTTTTTTCAGCTCGGGCGGGGAAAGGGCCAGAACATAGGGCGGAGCATGAGACAGATAAGCAGGGGAACAAACAGGATAGGGACACGGACAAAAGGGGGAGGAGTGGTGGAAGCAGGGAGCAGGCAGCAGGCAAACTCATGGCAAGCCTGGGCATGACCAGGTTGTACACTGTGTAGTGTGAATACAATGAAACCACATAATAACAGTAAAGTCCATATGATAACTGTAAGGTCCATGTAATAAAGTCCTGCCAATTGCTGTATGCTTTTCTCCATGCCTGGAACTGTTCCCATCCTGAATCTTGCTCCTTCACATCTCACCCTTTCTTACTTGATTGAAAATGCCTGTTGTGATAGTCCTTCTTGCAGCATGCTGTGACACAAGAAATAGTTAATAACAATACAAACAGAGAAAGCAAAATTTCAAAGCAAGTTAAGAAAGGGTTTGTTTAAATGGACTTGGAGGAGGACAGATCTGCATCTTCCAAATCAGTTTGGACAGCTGCATCTGCTGAGTGACTCCCCCCTTAAAAAATTGTTTCCAGCCCAAGATGCCACTGCTCCATGGTGTCTAAAAGCTTGGTGATAGTGGTCTTCTGTGGACTACAAGATGTTGCTGAAGGGATGGGTTATGCAGGATGGAACGCAGTTGAGGGGGTGTTTGTGTTAACACAGCACCCCTGGAGCTTGCTGCCTTGTTTTCTGACAGTTCACAGGTGCACTGTTTAAGATCTGGCATTGAATTAAAAGTCACTTTTCTCCTTAAGTCGGGTGATTTTTTCGGGGCAGCAGTTCTCCGTAGATGTTAGTAAGAGACCTGCAATCTTTAGTCCAGTGTCTGCCTTTGCCGCATCGTTTGCACGGTGTCTTTGGAAGTTCAGATTTTGTGGTTAATTGTGGGCA